ACTTCAAAAGCTCATTAGTTATTTTTTTCTCTCGCCACCTCCTTAAAGCTCTTGCAGTCTACATCAAAATTATCCTCAGTGAGTGGAGTACATCGCCTGCATTTTTAACAGACATGTGGGATTTAGGATTTGGTACTCGGTTTGCCATTAAGTTTTTTTTGGAAGGTTATTGAATTCTTAAGAGGAAATATTATATGGACCATTGAAGCTATTAATTATCTCACTGCCCTAGTTAATTTTTAAAAAAAATTTAGTCACCCATAGCAGAAATAATTTATGTTTTATAGCTTTACAAAAATATGTTGCTCCTTTGAATTACTGTGCCTTTTCCTGCTTCACAACAAGCACGGTGACTGGAAGAATTAGACCTATGTGTTTGCAATTTCATAGTTGTTTATAAAGGAAATCATTCATGGACGCTCTTGGTATCCTGTCATGCGTGATAGGTTTAGCATGAGTAAAAGTGCCTTCTTTGCATATGTTTTTGCAGATTAGGTGATCTGTGTGTTCAAGAACATGTCTGAATGTGTCCAACTTGCCTTTCACTCATTTACTGGTGTGATGTGGCTCATTCAGGCACAGTTGTAGCAGCCCTCTACCCTATCCTTCAGGGGAGGAGAAGGACATTCAAGGTTATGCTGTGTTCTGAACTCTGCCTTTAGGGTGAGGCTGGGACATGAAACACTGCAGTTCAACCTTTTGGAAAGTGCTTTCTTTTCATCAGTCTTGATCAGAAAGAATCCTAGTTAGGAAGAGGAATTTCAGAGTTATGTTACTCATACTCTTTATTTTCAAATTGTATTATATGGGAAAGCGAAAATACACTCTTAATTTTTTTTACTTTTTTTTTTTTGAGAGGTTTTTGCTATAGGGCACTTGCACTCATCAGAAAGACAGAGAAAGACAGAGAGAGACAGAGAGACAGAAAGCAAGAAATCACCCCCCAGGGTCGATGGCCACGCCGCAGTCCATTCTCCTCTCGGGATCTTGGGCTTGCACACAAATGTGCCTGGTGTGAGTTTAAGTCACCGGGTCTGGGACTTGAACTGTGATTGACTACATGGGAGTCCAGCGGCATAGCCATTACACTAACTGCTGGTCCCTTATTATATTTACGTTTAAAATTGATTTTACTCATGGTAGAAAGCACATACATGAGAGAGAGAGAGAGAGCAAGATGTGAGCCAGTTTCCCTGGCTCTCTAGCTTATCAGGATCTTGGACACACACATGTAAGCATGCGTGCAACCTGGCATTCTCAGGGATCTAAATCCAGCTGGTCTTGTGACTTTCAGCACTGCAGTTCAGTTTGCCATGATCATGCTGCCAGGCGAGGCCTCCTATATGCAAGGATGTGTTAGATTCCAAATCTGGTGTATCCTTCTAAAATAATTCATTTAAGTGTTAAAGCTTTCCTATATTTATGTGTACTTAGAAAAAAATTATTCTGTTGGATCATCAGTATTTTTCTTTGGTTTTCCATGCAGAAAACATTGTGACTTTTCCAATGGCCCAATATAAGCCTGCTCAGTAACTCATTCTAATAAAATAACAAATTAAATTATTGCCGTCTATCTTGAGTCAATGATGCTGCAGTAAATCTAAACAAAGCCTTCTTTTCTATATAGTGGTTGGGAATAACTGCTTTATCATTCTCTTCAATTAGTAATCAGTTACATTGACAGTTGCTAATGTAACGTGATTTTTTCTCCATGTAGTATGGTTTTTAAAAAGGGAATAAATCTAATTAAGTACATTTAAAATTGATTTTTTACACCAAGTCCATAACCAGAGTATTAGATCATTCAGATATGCCATTATGGGAAGAAAACATAGCATTTTTTGTGCCTAGATACTAATGAAAAAATCTTAAATTTGCCCTATCTTACCTTGTTTTTCTTTTTTCCAAGATGCCACATATAAACTTGTGTCTAATTCCGAATCCCAGTGGTTCATGACAAAGCAGAAACAACATGACAGGACTTAATAGGTTCCATCTCCCATTATTCAGGAGGGAGGTTTAACTGATTATCCTTCCATCTGTAGCATTTGTAATGTGCTCTTCTCCAGTTCGTTAGCAATACAGGAGGGCTAAGAGCTTAATGAGCTGTATATAAGCAGAAGCCATCCGTAATCCAAGTAGAGAAACCACATGCTTTAAGACTGTATGCAGTAGTAAGTTTTGTGTAGTATGAGCCCTGAATGTAAATTGGAATCCTGTTAAGCATTTTATGAAGCACTTCTCCCCCCACCCACCCACCTCCCCAATGCCATAGGCTTGGGGGTGGGTGGGGCAGAAGGTTGAAGGAGGGAAAGAAAGCACCCCACCATGGCCCTTGGTCTTAGCCATCATGCCGCTATCCTTTTCCTTCCATTTCTCTATCCTGTTCATTTCCTGGGCATATCTAGCATATTTATAACCTACAGGGGTCCATCATTGAGCCCTAGTTAGCCATGTAGGATCCAGCTCTTCCTGTGCAGTACTTCATCACTGAGTCACAGGGCTAGCTCTTAAGCAGTTCTTTACAAGAAAAAAGTAATGTACTGGTTCAGACTGTTGTTTTATTGATTTTTTTTTTTTTTTTTTTTTTTTTTTAAAATTTTCCTAACTTAACCTTTTTGACATAGGGTGCATTTGCTTGCCACAGAGAGACAGAAAAAGGGAAGGTGAAAAATCCCTCCTTTTTTTTTTTTTTTTTTTTTTTTGCTTAAAGTCTTCACTAACTTAACTGTTGGTAATACTTTTGAGAAGTACTTTCAGTTAACATTTTTTCATATTGTCATGGTGAATCATTTTTCTTATTTGTGTAAAATGTTTATGCTAGTGTTATCCAGTTACTATGTATTGAATTGGGCTCTTTATATTTTATTTCTTTGAGGTGAAAAATCTACATTTGTTTTTGTTAAACATACTCATATGTACAGTCATTTTTTTAATGGCATACAGTGTGACTTTTTTGTTTATTCATTTTTATGCTTGGCGGTGTAAGGCCTAGAATATTAGTTCTGCAACTCAGATTTCTATTTTGATTATTATAACATATGTATGGAAGGATATTGTGTCATTGGTACGTGAGCACAATTTGCAGAGTAAAGTTGAGAATCAAGTACATGGATGAGCTCTATGAAATACCCAGAGATTGACTCCTCTAAATGTAAACAGTGACTTGGGTCGCTTTGTTGTAAATCTCAAAGCTGAGATACGATCAATTGCATTATGCTTTGGCAGGAGAAAGACGGTTGCCAGAGGAAGGTTACACAGTGTTGGATCTGGGCATAAAAGGGCATCTGAGAATACAGACTTCCAAGTGTTTATCTAGCACTGTCCAAAAAAGACAGAGCAACCAAATCTGATAGTCATGAGTAGAGGTTATTAGAAAAACATTTGGTGTGGTGCATTTTTTATTCTAATCCACTCACTTATTTTTCTCAGTATGCTATCAAAACAGCTTTCACCAAGGTCACTAATGACCTTCTCTCTGACCATAGTACTCTGTGCGACCTTTATGCAGCTTCAGACTTGGCATCGTTTTTCTTCCTCTTCCCCTAATGCTTTACCCTGTTTCCTTCTCTATCTTTTTTATGCATTCAGCACAGTTGAAAAAATTGGCATTGTACCGTGTTTATAATTTATATCCTATTGAATATATTGCATTTTCACATAAACTTTAATGGCCCTTATATGGATATACCATAATCTTAAAATCATAAAACATTGGGGCCGGCAGATGGCATGGTGGTTGGGGTCGCTGACCAACCACATGACCAACTATGGTTTGAGTCCCAAACCTGGCAGCTTGCTTTCTCACTTTCTCTCTCTCTCTTGCTTTGTCCCTCTCTTTGTCCGCCTCTTAGTCCCTCTATAATATAATGCTTTTGAAGTCATACATAAGGAAATGAAACAGTAGACAAAAGTTCTATAGTCTTAACAAGTTACCATATAAACAAAAGACTTGGGATAGGCAATATTCAATATCACTAAAATGGACAAAGAGAATGTGACCTTAGTTGAGTCATTGGAACCTGTTCCTCTGGTTTCTTATCTATAAAATAGCAGAGTCATACTGTGATCTTTAAAGTCTCTTCCAGTGTAACATCCCGTTACTTGTGAATTAGCACATGCTGAGACGTCTGCACCCAGGTGTTCTTTCGACCATACTGTTTGTTCTGAAGCGGCTATGATTATTATTGATTACACATATATATTAAAATTCATTTTTAAAGTGTTGTGCACTACTTTATTATTTGGCATAGTTTTTTTTTCCTAGTGGATCTAAATGAGTATCTGAATTTATATATAATATATAATTTCGTATTTGTTTGTATAGACTATAGAACCTATTATAATAGCTTTAGTAAATGATATTTGTTTGCATTTGTAAACATCTCAACCATAGTGATTAATGATTATAAAACAACACTTAAAAATATGAATGGCAGGCCAGCCAGCAGCATGGTGGTTAAGGCGGCTGGATCCCACATGACTGACTGCATGGTTTGAGTCCCAGACCTGGCAGCTTGTAAAACATACCAGCGCATGTGTGTGCACATACCCAAAATCCCAAAAAGAGGGAGAAAGGACAAGGGATTGCAGTGTAGCCATCCCTAATAGGGGGTGCTTTCTCTCTCTGCCCCCCCATTCTCTCTTTTTGTCTCTGTCTTCATTGAGCACATGTCTTCTTGCAAAATTTTTAAAAATAGATATAAGAACACAGAGTTTTTAAAAAATTCACGTGTAAGTAACAGTATATATCATTGAAAATATTCCTTGTAATCTGGTGTCAAACTAAAAGTTGACATCTTTTTTTTTTTCCACTGAATTCAACAACTTTTGATACTAGATTTTTATGTCTACTGTGAATACTAACTCATTTATTTTAGTTAAAATTGAAAATTACTAAGGATGTTAAAAAAGAATTGTTCCACCACTGCATTCATTTAGTTAAGAAATCAAATCGCACATTTTATTTACTTAAACCCATCTGCACTTGTTTTTACCAGAAACATATTTGGTCTGCGGCCTGTGGATTATACAGACAGTGAAAATATGAAATCACTATTGCTGCTACCAGAGAAGAATGAATCATCCTCAACTAGCCATTGCTCGGTAGTAAGTATGGATTTAGCTTTGGGACATTTATATCTTTTATTGAAATTGCTTATGAAAGGAACATAATGGAGAAATTTCCAGTTAGCAAATTGCTTTCATTCATCAAACAATTATTGAGCACTTCCTGAGTAGTAGCTACTGTGGATGCAAAGATGTAATGGAATAGACTACCAAGAAACGTTTCTGGAGCTTCGTCTACACAGGCAGACTCCTATGGCAATGACTGTGACTGATAGAACTTTCATTCTCAAGGAGCTTACCTTCTCAGGGGGACGTAGGAAACAGACAGATTGTAGTTATCTAAACTAACATAACCAAATAGTTTCAGCAACTTAGGAATGGTGCTTTGAAGAAGATTTTGCAGATTCTAATTAGGGCGGGAGTGGTGGGCAAGCTTCTGAAATAGCACTGCTTTAGCTAGCATCATTGAAAAAAGCCTTTAATGAACTGATTGAAATAGAAACGGGGGGCAGCCAACTGAGTATCTGAAAGACACAGTGTATAGTCTCTTCAGCGTTGGCACGTTTGAAGGTTCTAGAGACATTTTTTGTTGTCAGAAACTAGTATCTAAGAGTAATGGGAAACAATTGAAAGAATTTAAAGCAAGGCAATGACTCGATTTGATTTTTACTTCGGAGAATTCATTCTGTCTGCTTTGTGAAAGAGTGACTGTGGGATGGGGACAAGAGTGAAAGGAGATATTACTTAGGGCCATTTCATTGTAATAGGAGAGGGAAACAGTGACCACCTGGGCTGAGGTAATGGCAGTGGAGATTATGGAAGATAATGAGGCCCATCAGTATGCATTTTAGAGTTAATGTCAGCAGGACTTTCTGGGTTATGTATGAGGTGTGGTAAAACAGTGAAATTGGTATGGCGAGCATGGAGTAGATGGTGGTACAGTTTCCTGCTGTGGGGAAGGAAATTAATGCCACATTTACGTATAAGACGTCAAATGGAGTTGTTGACTCTGTCTGGAACTTGGGTATAAGCTATAGTTAAAGTGAAAAGATACCTATTTCTTAGGAATGAATAACTTCATGGAGAATAGATGTAAAAAAAATTCATATACATTGTAATGTATAATGTAAAATATAAAAATATACATGAGAAGGAAGAAACTAACTGCAGGAGGGGTTAGGGTTAGCTTCACAGAGAAGGAATTTTAAGTCTTCAAGGGAAAAATCATAGGAAGGTATTTAATAGAATGTTGCTGTTTTAATTTTAAAAGAATTATTTATTTAACTTTATTTGTCATTATTATCATTTTAAAAAATAATTTCCTACAGGGCACATATACTCACCAAAAAGAGAGAAAGAGAGAGAGAAAGCAAGCTACCAGGTCTGGGACTTGAACTGTGGTCAGCCATGTGGGAGTCTGGCTCCTCACCATGCCACCTGCTGGCCCCAGTGCTGCTGTTTTAAATAACAGAAAACCTTTATTCAAATGCCTCAAACCAACTTACCATCCCATATGAAGACAGTCCCAATGAATAGCTTTGTATTTGGCTAATTCAGCAGTTAGTGGCAGCACCAAGGACCCAAATTCTATCTTTGTACTCTGCCATCCTCATTTTAACCACACTATTTTCACTAAGCTCCTTGTTGTGGTTATAAAATAATTGCCACAATTTCAAATGTGATATTGGCCACTGAGAAAGGCACTAAAGCCATTCCTGGAAACCTTGCTGTGGGCTTCTCCTGTGTCTTATTGGTCGGCACGGCTTGCAAGTTGGTTTTGACATCCCTTGGGGTTGGAGATAGGGCCAGTTCCTGAAGGGTGGAAACCTGGACAAAATTAGGCTTCTGTTAATGTGTAGGAAGTGAGGAGTAGATTCCGAATGGACAGCCAGCATCACCACTGCTATCAGGTATATGAAGTTGGGATGGCAGGGCAAACCTAAGGAACAGTTGCTCAGAGACAGCATAAAGGACTTGAGCAATCTGAGAAAGGTTATGAGATTTAGTGTGAGAGTAACATGAAGTGTACTGAAGAGGAATTTGGGGCAAAGAGTTCTCTTAGAATTAGATTGAGAAAGCTCTTGAATTCCCTGACAGAGTTTCGACTAATTATTGAAATAGGACTTGTCTAAAGGGTAGTTGGGAGTTGAAGAGGCTGAAGGCTGATTGGTAGGCTGCTGTAGTGGAAATGATGAAATGGAAAGGCCTGGAATTACAGGTCATACAGGTGATAGTAGTGATGTAGGGAGGGGGAGAAGAAGAGGAACTTTAGAGAAAGACATTGATTGTGTTCTAGAAACTGCTTAGAAGGGGAAGAATGAGAGAAGGGGATGAAAGTGCTCAGATGGAGAGTCAGAGAAGGGGACAAGCTGGTGTCTAGAACCATTCAGGTATTTCTTGTCTAGTAAGGGTGGTGGAGTTGTGATTGATGCCATTATTTAAGATAAGGAGGGACCTAAGGTTGTTACCATCTGATGCAGTCATAGGTGCTGTCATTGGCTCATTACCTTTAAATCTTGAAAACCCTGCTTTAGGCTTCAGCCTTAGGAAGGTGCTTCAGACTATTTGTGGTAAGGAACTGTGAGCAAAGTTAGAAATCGGAGACTTAATTTCCTGTTTTACAAATGAGAAAACAGACTTAGTGAGATTGTGATTTAGGTTATTAACCAGCTATTAACTTTTTTTTTTTTAAGGGACCAGTTAGATAGAGTTGACATTTCTTAAATCTTAGGTCAGTACTCATTCAGTTCCACCACACTTAAAAACTATAAATTGGTACTTATTTTATTCATTTGTACTTGAACTCTCCAGGCAGAACATGATATAACTTACCTTTTCACTTGCCAGTGATTTGTTTAGATAATAGTTGGCAAAGGATTGTGGGTTTTGTGGGTTTTTTGTGTGTGTGCGTGTGTGCGTGTGTGTGTGTGTGTTTAAGAGGTTTTTGCTCTAGGGCGCATGCGCTCGCCAGAAAGACAGACAGAAAGCAAGAAATCAACCCCCAGGGGGGATGGCACACCACAATCCCTTCTCTTCCATTCTCCTTTAGGGATCTTGGGCACGCGTACCTGACGTGAGTTTAAGCCACCGGGTTCGGGACTTGAATTGCGGTCGACTACATGGGAGTCCAGCAACATAGCCATTACACCAACTGCTGGCCCCAGGACTGCATTTTAAATGTGTCATAAACAAAGGTATCTTGGGACCAGCAGATGGTGTAGCAGTTAAGGTTGCTGGACTCCCACGTGACTGACCATGGTTTGAATCCAAACCTGGTAACTTGAAAATCACCAGATGTATGTGTGCTTACCCAAGATCCCAGGAGAATGGAAGAGAAGGGATTGCAGTGTGGTCTGGGGGTGACTTCTCACTTTTCCTCTCACTGTCTTTCTCTGACAAGTTCACATGCCCTAAGGCAAAAACCTCTAAAAATAAATAAAATAAAGGTATCATTATAGTATTTTTGGTGTCTGAGGATAACAATACCTTTCAGAAAAGATGGATTTTTGCTAAATGTAAGCAACCTATACCTTCTGCATGTCATGTGGACCTGATCTAGGAGTGTTGTTATTTGCTGTCTTTAAATTTTTTTTATTATTAAGAATTATTTTATTTAACTTTATTTATTTTATTTATTTTAATTTGATCAGAGAGGGACAGAGTGAGAGAGAGAGAGATGAAAAGTGAGAAAGCAAGCCACCAGATCCAGGACCAGAACCTCTGTCGGCCATTAACCACCACGCTGTCTGCCGGCCCCATCATTTGCTGTCCTAATAGTTGATACTTGGCTAAAGAAAAGATAATTAATCATATAAAGTCCTCCTAGGTTGAAAGGGTATTTCCCTTATATGTAAACTGTAAGGTGTAAATGCTGTCTCCACATCTCCACCCTCCCACCCTAGCTACTACAAAGCCCCTGTTCACTCACTCACTCTCAGCCACATGGGCTGCCTGGCTGCGTCCTGAATCCTCCAAATGTGCTCTCATTTCAGGCCTTCAGCACTAGTTGTTTTCTCTGTGAGGAGCAGATGTGGGGAGCCAGCTGTTCCCATGGCCTACTTCTTCAAGCCCTTCAGATCAACTCTAGAGAGCTCTGCCTCTGTCACTGTTAAAACAGTAACCTCCCTGTGCCACAAAGCCCACTTCTGCTTTTTTTAAGTTTTTTAACCACACCACTGCATGGATTTTTTTCTTTCAAAAACAGCTCTATTGAGACATAAAGCATACACCATAAAATTTACCCATTATTATGTAAAAGTTTCTAGAAAATTTACATGGTTGCAGTTAACACTGCATTTCATCTTAAAACATTCCAAGCACCCCAGAAAGGTCTTTCATGTCAGGTTGCAGTCCATCTCCACTCCCAAGGCTGGTTCCCCGCAAACGCTGATCTGCTTTTTGTCTCAATAGATTTGCCTTTTCTGAAAATACCGTATAAATGGAAGCATGCAACATGTAATTTATTGTGTCTGGCTACTTTCGTTTAAGCATTCATCAGTAGTCTGTTCCTGATTTTACTGCTTTTATTCCCTGTCACCTGGAATACAAACTCCATGAGGGCAAGAACTGACTCACTGACTCATTCATTTGCTAGAGTAGCCCCAGCATGAAAACAGTCCTGGCAAATACTGAGTGCTTGGTAGGTGTCTGTTGAATGAATGAAAGAGCACTGGGGTGCTCTTTGTGATAAGTATTTGCCCCTATAACCAGCACAAGGACTTCAGGCTGCACCTGGAATCTTTTAAGTCAGTGATTCCCAGGCTATTCTTCAGAGCTGCTTCATCATGAAGAAGTGGATGGGATTTGAAATCCTCTACTTTCCATGACGAATTTTGTTTCTGGTAGAGATTAGTGGAAAGCACCTACTTTAAATTTGAGAAACAACCTTGAACCATAAAGACTTAAAAAGCTGCTTGCCACGTGCATTTTGGTTCTCCTCAGTGTATAATCCTCTAAGCGGCATGTTTATCCTTTTTATTCTTTCCATATTTCAACTTCATTTTTGATAAACTCATTAATTAAGAAAATTAATAATTTTATTATCTAAGGAAAAGTACCACATAGAGTGAATGTATTATCTAATCTCTATGAAACCAGAGTATCGACCTTCAGGATGATTTTCGAACCTCTTTTGAGCCTCGTGGTTCTGAGACCGCTGCAGACTGAAATCATACCCCTCATCTTTCCCTGTGTTGGACACGTGGCTTTGGCAGCTGTTTGCTTTTATGTTTTATTTTAGCAGTCCTTAACTATGAGGAATTAGTGCTGGTTTCTATTTTTTATGGAAATTTAAAAATCTGATATGAAAATGCTTGACCCACTTTAGTGCCTTCCTTAGTTGGTGGAAATAGTATCATATGCTATATTTAGAAATTATATCTTTTTGCTGTTGTATTTTATGCAGAGAGCTAATTTAGTTGGAGTTATATAAATTGAGAAGTAATATGTTCTATTTAGAGCTATTTTTTTGCACTTATTTGTATAACTGACAAAAGTTTTTTTTGAGAGGTTTTTGCTATAGGGCGCATGCACTCGCCAGACAGGGGAAATTGCACCTCCCCGGGGGGGGGGATGACCACACTGCAGTCCATTCTCCTCTATTCTCCTCTCGGGATCTTGGGCACTCACACACACGCACCTGGCGTGAGCTTAAGCCATCGGGTCCGGGACTCGAACTGCAGTCAACTACGTGGGAGTCCAGTGACATAACCATTACGCTAACTGCTGGTCCCACAGACAAAAGTTTTTGAAATGCTGTTTTGTAGTATTATTGTCATACAGTAAGTGAGCAATCCAGAAGTACAATACACTGAACTCTGTTAAGTATTTGTAGTGTTTAGGTTAGACAAGGTTATCTCATCTTATAATGTATAATTTTAATAATTTAGTAAAGATCTAAATAGAGAAATGTGATTATAAATATGTGGGTGTGTCTGGTAAAAACCTTTGCCGCCAGAACCTTAGAGGAATAAATAAGTAGCTGAACTCTAAAGTGCTGACTACTGTCATTTAAAAATACTTTTTATGGGGTCAGCCGGTGGCTTGGTGGTTAAGGCATCCGGATACCACATGGTCAACAGTGTGATTCAAGTTTCAGACTGGGAAGCCTGAAAAACATACAAGGCACATGTGTGTTTGCATGATCAAAATCCCCAAAGGAGAGAAGGGATCACAGTATGACTGTCTCCTATGGGTGTACTTTCTCAGATTTCTGTTCTCTCTCTGTCTCCATCAACACACATGCTCTTTTTAAAACAAGAACAGCAACAACAACAACAAAAAACACTTGGTATGGAATTCTTTCCAAAAAAAGGTCTTGTATACTTAATATATATAGACTCTCTTTTCATATATTTTGCATGAATAAATTATTGAGATTAATTTGTTTATAAGTGTAGCCAGCAATTTAGATATAATATATGTATGGCATCAGGCCGAAAAAAATGAGGGTATCACTGCTCTGATCTGTAAATATTGAAAAGCTAGGTTCCATTGAGTTGCTGAATTATACTATAGTCATCCCTTCAGTGTTTTGCTCACATTCTTGGAGTTTTTGAAGGCCTAGTTGTTCAGTATACATTTATGATCATGTATGTATACGCAGGCCCTCTGTCTTGTGTTCGAAAATGAGAAAAATGACAATATCGTGTTTGGCTTTTTATCCTTTAATACAAGTAGAACTTACTTGTCTTTTCTTTCTTCTTTGCCAGATTATTGCCTCTCTTACCAAGTAGCTTTTGGCTAACCTTGTTCCAATTCTATTTTATTAAATTTCTTTTGGTTGCTATTATAGCCACAATCCCATTGTTTCTTGGACTCATTTCAAATTTTTAATACTGTCCAATGGTGCCCTCTTCTTTATTTTGTCTTTTTTGTCTCCTCTAAGTTCTAAGTCTAGATTTTAATGTGAAAATGTCTTTGTTAGTCAGAGCACTTCTTTCCTTTTCATGAGCTGCATGGACTTTTTACCACTCCTGGATCTGATCTAACTTATTTATTGTCTTGACTGTCTTCATCTTTGGTTTTGAGAGAATACTGTTGGTAATAAAAATTTGTTTTCTATCATTAGGGTCAGGGCTATTTAAAAGCTGTATGTGTTTTTATTTTTCACAAAATCTCAGCGTAAACTACACAGACCAATCTTTTATTTGTTAGAATAAGTAAGTGGAGGTAGGTTAGGGTATTGATCATTTTAAGTGTGTATTTCGGGTTACTTGAGGGGGAAAAACGTGCCTTACTGCTGACAGAATGAAGCTGTAAATCCTTGTGACCCAATTTAGAATCAAGTAAACAAGCCCTGGTATAGAGAACTACTCTGATTAATGTTTTCTTGAGAGAAACACAAAGTAGAAAAATAGTTATCCAAATACATTAAGCATATGGTTCTGAGTGCAGATTCAATGGAAGTTATTGAGAATGATTAGATAGAGTAAGCTAAGTAATGAAATTTAAGTTCATATCAAGTGATGGATTCTTTAAAATCTTTCTCTAATCTTTTAATGTTTTTAACACTGTGGAATCTTCTTTTCATTAACAGGTGAATACCAGACAGCGAAGAGATAGACCTCTTGTACTTATTGGCAGTGGGCTTTCTTCAGAACAGCAGAAAATGCTTAGTGAGCTTGCAGTAATTCTAAAGGCTAAAAAATGCACCGAGTTTGACAGTACAGGTAAGGATTTCGAATTCCTTTTTTTATTTAGACTGAACATAATATCTGAACTCTATAAAATCAAGCTATTGAACCTTTGGGATTTTTTTGAACCTCTTTGACTCTGTGGTTCTGAAACCTTCAGTTCTTCAAATCAAATCCTCATCTCCCACCTCATCTTTCCCCAAATTGGACATGTGACTTTGGCAGAAAAAAAATTGTAATAGATAATCTCTTTGGAGAACTACTTTTGATAATTTATGCTTTAACCATTGGGATATGGCCTCTATACTTTGCATCTTATATCTATATTAGTTTTATAGTAATAAACTACATATAAGCTTAATGTAGTTAGGAAATGTAAAGTTTGAAGCTTTTAGGGTGCCAAAACACCAAACTGATGTTTGCTGATAACAAGTCATAGTATGATATAATGTCATAATTCCTCAGTTATAATTTGAAAAAAAAATTTGTTTTCTAATGCAGCTTTAAGATATATGGTTTATGATCTGATTTTTCAGATTGATGGCCAGTTAGAGATTGATAATAGATGAAAAAAAAAAAATTTTCACTTTTGGGAACCAGCAGTTAGCGTAATGGCTATGTCTCTGGACTCCCACGTAGTCGACCGCGGTTCGCGTCTAAAACTCATGCCGGGCGCATGTGCGTGCGTGCCCAAGATCCTGAGAGGAGAATGGAGGTGAAGGGATTGTGGCGTGACCATCCCCCCTGGGGGCTGATTTCTCGCTTTCTGTCTCTATGTCTCTCTCTGCCTGTCTGGCGAGCGCACGCGCCCTATAGCGAAAAACCTCTCTAAAAAAGAATTTCGCTTTTGAGAAAATTCAGGTATACATTTATAAAATATAAACTAACTGGTTATAAGGAGTAGGTTAGTTTAAAAACTATTTTAGTTGTATCTCTGTTTCTCTTCATGTTTTTTTTTGTGTGTTTTAGTAACTCATGTCATTGTTCCTGGAGACACAGTTCAAAGTACCCTGAAGTGTATGCTTGGGATTCTTAATGGATGCTGGATCCTAAAATTTGAATGTGAGTTTTGGATTTGGGATTATTACAGAATGAATTAACTAGTTGAATGTGAGTTTTGGGTTTGAGATAATTACAAAATGAATTAACTAGACTAGTTCATTTTTCATAGTGCATCACCATCCATAATTATTTAAGGAACTTATGCTAAGTTTCTTACCTCAGGTTAGTCACTACATTTTGGAAAAGTGTCTTACATTAGTAGTTATCATTTAGATGTTCTTAGTAAATTTCCATAAATATATTCTGGTTTTAAAGTCCTTTTTTTTGTACAATAGCAGCTATTTTAATGGAGAGTGAATGGAGTACATAGTAGATTCTTAAGCCTAAGCAATCTGAATTACCATTTAGTGATATGTTTAACTTAATAAATGCATATTTAAATTTATCATGCAACCAGTCTATGAAAATGAAAGTCGCTTATTGCTTTCCCTTTAAGATTTCTAAAATATTACCTACATCACAGCCTTTTGCTCTCTCAGCTAATCAGATATTTTTAGGCAGCTGTTGGGAAATTTAGACTGCCTTGTACTCCCTGGTTTGGAGTGACTACAGCAGCTGTTATCTCAGCCTCCACTGTTAGTGTGTCCCTGTTCCCTCCTCTTGTTGGTAGTTAAATACCAACACCTTTAAGCCTGCCTCTTACTTTCCCTTCTGTCACTCGTTTACTTTTCCTACTGTCACTCGTTTACTTTTCTTAACCTTGGGTTCAGCATTTAAAACTAAGAAGAAAGCTCACATACAGTTATTTTCTACTATTGTGTAGCTATAGTGTCTATGATGGCTTAAGTAGGACAGTGGATTGACCTTTTTTGTTAGCTAACTGTTTAAAAATGATAGTGTCTACAAAGGAATAACATGGGGAGTTTGGGGATGATATAATTGAGTGCTTCAACCTTAGTGATAGCTACAGTACACAGAGCTACACGTGTGAAAAAATTACATAGATCAAGGCTAGCAGTTGGCATGGTGGTTAAGGTGCTGGACTCCCACACAGCTAACTGCGATTCAAGTCCCAGACCTGGCAGCTTAAAATCTTTCTGGGTATGGTATGTCCAAAATCCTGAGTGGAGAAGGGATTGTGGTGTGGCCATCTGCCATGGAAGATGATTTATCATGTTCCCTCCTACTGTGTCTCTGGAGAGTGCACACACCCTATAGTAAAAGCCTTAAAAAAAAATGTGCATACATGTATGCATACAAATGAATACATATGTAACTAGTGAAATCCAAATAAACTTTATTGTATTGTATCAATGTCGGTTGGTATTATACTATTACTGGGTAAGATGTTAATTTGAGACACTGGCGAAAGGATGTATGAGACTTTTTGAACATTTCTTTGCAGTCTCATGTGACTATAATTACAGGTGTTGCTCACTTAGCGACTGAATTCTGTTCTTGTGACTGGGTTGTTAAGTAAATTAGTTTTTTTTTTTTTTTTTGGAGAGATTTTCGCTATAGGGCGCGTGCGCTCGCCAGACAGGCAGAGAGAGACAGAAAGCGAGAAATCACCCCCCAGGGAGGATGGTCACGCCACAATCCCTTCTCCTCCATTCTCCTCTCGGGATCTTGGGCACGCATGCATATGCGCCCGGTGTGAGTTTTAAGCAACCAGGTCCGGGACACGAACCACGGTTGACTACGTGGGAGTCCAGCGACATAGCCATTACGCTAACTGCTGGTTCCCCTCAGTAAATTAGTTTTTAAGCTAGGAGCTTAAGGTGGATGTCTGATGGTGTGTCACAGCATGATAGCATATGTATTTTTCAATAGATACCATACAGTGCTACACTGAAATAATGTGTTTCTATCCATACAAAGAGCATGCATTATCAGTGCCAGAAAGCGATAAGACACACCACAACACAGTAATATAAATCTGGTATAATTGTTTTCATTTTTTCCAAAAACTACTATGGGTACACAATAAAGTACACATTTATAAACAAAATATGTAGTCTTGTGAGATCGCACACACTTCGTGCAGTGAATACTAACCGACGGGGAGAATGAGACAAATACTGAGAAAGGGAATTCCTAAGACTTATACAGACTGATGAAGGGTTTTCCTTACACTGGATAAACTGGTTATATGTTCAAGCAGTCCTTAAACAGGTAAGTTCTTAAGGAGGAATGACTGTATTTCAAAATAAGTTAAAAAGGAACTCTGTATATATTTAATGAAGTAAGAAGCAAATGATGGATTAAAGTTCTTTCTTTCTTTCTTTTTTTTTTTTTTTTTTTTAGAGTTTTTTTCTCCTGGGGGGGCTCAATGACAGAGACAGAAAGCAAGAATCACCGCCCAGGGGGGATGGCCACACTGCAATCCCTTCTCCATTCTCCTTTTGGGATCTTGGGCATGCACACACATGAGCCCAGTGTGAGTTTAAGCTACTGGGTCCGGGACTCACACCACAGTCAACTACATGGGAGTCCAGCGACATAGTCATTATGCCAACTGATGGTCTCTGGATAAAGTTCTTAAAAACTTTGTTGTATGGCCTCATGCTTAGAAGCTTTTATAGTAGAATGCACGATGATCAAGGTCTTCATTATATTAGTAGTTTAATCTGTAGTTTGAAGTTGAGTTGGTTTTTAAAACACTTTGCTTTCAGCAGTTGGTATTCATATCCTTTTTTAAAAAGAATTGCTTTGTTTAACTGTATGAATGTATGTATGTGTTTATTTATTTTAATTTGACCAGAGTTGGGGGGAAAAGAGGGTGAGAGACAGAGAGAGAGAGAGTGAGAAAACAAGCTGTCAGGTCTGGGACTTGAACTATGGTCGGCCATGTGGGAGCCTAGCCCCCTTAACCATCACACCACCTGCCAGCTCCTTCATATCCTTTTCTAAATATAGTTGCCACTTCTTTTCCTGTGATGCCAGGCTCCACTGATGCCATCTAATCCAGCTAAGTGTCCGTAGCTAGCAGTGCCACTTTGCCTGTTCTCATTAATCTCAGTTACCACTAGTCCCTCTTAGTCATGACCAGTTTAAGAAGTTTGATGAGTCATTGGATTGATTGGCCATTTGTATAGGAAAAGAAGTTTCTCTCTGCGCCTCACTTAATTTGGAACTTTCGTCCATGTGAAGTTTTATGGAACTTTAGCCTTTTTTAAAAAGTCATTTGAAATGGACTCCTGATTGTGGATGCTTTTGTGCCAAACCTGTACTAGAAACGTGGCCAGTGGTTATAGGAACAGGTAGATTTTCATAATAACAGGGTCTTGGTAATAAAGAAGCCACATATGGAGTTTGAATGGTAAGACATCTGCCACTTAAGTTTGAGTCTAGTTGTTAGGAATATGCTGAGTTGGCATTTGTTACATGTACAGGCTACATGATTCATTTTCATAAAATCTTAGTTCTTTAGGAAATGAAGTTTTTCACTTTAATGACTTGGCCATGTCACTTTTATAGAATCTCTGATGGACTCAAGCTGACTTAATAGTGTGCTATTTGGTCATTCTCAGTAGTTCTTTTAGGATAAAAGGTAGATGAATCTCTTAGTGAAATTCATATCCTTATATTTTCTGATGTAAAGTCCAAGGGGAAATAGGTTCAAGGTTTGAGACAATTACTCTAAATTGTCACTGAGTTTATAAAATGAAGGCAAGAACCCTCAAATACCTCCCCTTCCACACACACACATGTACATATAACATTTCAGTTTGATTTCCAAAAGTGTTTCAGGGCCAGCAGGTGGTGTGGTGGTTAAGGCTCTGGATTACAATCTGACTAACCATACTTTGAGTTCTGGACCCAGTGACTTGAAAAATCACACTGGGTGCTCCTATGTGTGTGCCCCAAAATCTTAAGAGGAAAATAGAGGAGAAACCATTACAGCATGGCTGCTACCTACTCCCCCTGCCCTGGGGTGGGATAATTTCTCACTTTCCCTCTTTCTGTCTCTCTTTCCAGCAAGTGCACGTGCCCTATAGCAAAAGTCTTTAAAAGGAAAAAGAAGTATTTTCAGAGCTGCTCAAAATTATTTGAAAACCACTTATATTAATGAAAGATGAAGTAGATGAGGCTTTTCGAAATTAATTGTAAGGATTTATGACTTAATTGGATTAGTCGGTGACCCAGTTAAGGTGGCCAGATCCTAGATGGCCTACTGTGCAGTTTGAGTCCCAGGCCTGGCAGTTTGAAAAACACTCTGGGCACATGTATGTGCCTACCCAAAATCCCTAAAGGAGAAATGAAGGAGTGGCTTGTCAGGGATGCTTTCTCACTTTTTCTTTCTCTCCAACAAACACATAAGCCCTATAGCAAGTTTTAAATAAATATTTATGATTTATTAAAGCTAGGCCTCACGTTTAAGACTATCCATTAGCTGGCTGACAGACAAAACCTTTACCAGATTAACTACTGAGAAACTTTAATATTAACTTCTTTATTTCTTGAAGAGGTACCTGAAGAAAGGCACGTGCACTTGCCAGAGAGAGTAAGTGAGAAATCAACACTACCATCCCCCGCCCCAGGGAGAATGGTGGTGCCACAATCCCTTTCCCTCCCAGGATCTTGGATACACACACGCATGTACCCGGTGTGATTTGCAAGCCACTAGGTTCAGGACAAAAGCCGCAATCAGCCATGTCAGAGTCTAGTGATGCAATCACTACCCCATCTGCTGGCCCCCAATATTGACTTCTTCTGGAGTCCTCCCATAAATAAAAAAATGAAAAGTATGGGAAAGTGTCATAAAAAGTTTCTCAATAGTTAATCCAGTTATACTATTAGATAATAGTATTTTCTGTATACTAGAATGTTGTCTGAATACATATTAATATCCTAGTTAACTGTTACAAGTTTTCTGTTTAAAAGTGTTTGGTCTTGGGACCAGCAGATAGCATAATGGTTATGCCATCTCCTAAGAAGAGAATGGAAGAGAAAGGAGGAGAAGGGATTGAGGCATGACCATTCCCTCTGGGAAGTGATTTCTTGGCTTTCTGTCTCTCTGGCAAGTACATGCACACTATAGCAAAGATCTCTCTCTC